AGCCAAGTTTTCTGGGAACGTCAGAGGGTTATCGATCAGTTTAACTGCATTATATGGATGAGTGGAACTTATACTATTGAGGAGATCAACATCTTAGCAAGTTGGAGGAGGAATCCCATCATCACAATGAGGGGTCCGAGTATAAGTATTCTCAATTGGGATCCTTTGCAGGTTGTTGACGTTGTGGAAAATAAACTATTAATGGATGTGCATACATTTACTGTCGAACCTCATGTAGGAGTTAGCAATCTCATGTTGAGACTCCATTTTACCCACTTGGTCTTCCAAAGATGAGCTTAGAGTGCCTTTACCAGATGGATACCCGTTCATGGAGGGAAAAAGCTGATGTTTGTTGTATATGAATCCATGATTGTCCCATGGAATAATGGGTGTTAGGACATGATATTCTGTTGTTACGAGTATTGCCTTTGTTGGTCATTTTGAAGGCTTAATAAAATATTCATGGTGGGACTATCTTTCCCATAAACAACATCAAACTGTTGCATGCTTATAAATTTACAGTGTTAGAGTGATATATTAATGTCTAAGAACTATGAGAAGATCTGACATATAAAGGTAAAAAAGAATCAACATAACATAAAAGACAATAGTAGTTTTTACGTGGAAAACCTGAAAGGCCAAAAACCACAAGGTCTGCCCTAGTGAAATGATTATACTATATCAAAGTAGGTTACAAAAACTTATGAACACATGAATAACTAAAACCAATGTAGCACACAAGTGGAATGTGGCTTTGGCTACTGAAGAAGTGGAAAAAAAAGCTGAGGAAGTGACGATGACCTGGCTGCTGCAAAGAAAAGCCGATGGTAGAGGTCAAATTTCATAAATCTAATGTTAATGTTGTTGGTCGTGGTTGCGATGGTGATGGTCAAGCAACACAGGTTCAGTGGTGGCGACAAATGTTTAGTGGCGACTACGGTAGTCCAACTTTAATAGTCGTCATGTGGTGGTGGCGATCAAACAATGGTGAATTGGTGACAGTGGTGGTTGTGCGATAGTGGCGGTGACCACACGGTGGTAGCCAGACAATGGTGATTTGGTGGTGGCGGGATGTCGATGATAGTAGCCGGATAATGGTAGTCCAACGGTGTTCAAGACACTACGGTGGTGGTCGAGTCGCGATACTGGTGGTCCAACATTGGCAGCGACTTGACTATAGTGGTTAGCCAATGGCGATCCAACTACAAAGGCAACTCAACGGTCGAGCAACTACAATGTTGGTCTGGAGGTGGTGGTGGTTATTAGATGACAGTGGTTCGGTAATGACAACAGTCAAAAGGCAGTGGTTAGGCAACAGTGGTCCGACAGTGACAACAGCTTGATGGAGGTGGCAGGTAGTTGTGGTCATGTAGCAGTGGTGGCTCGGCGACGATGATCTGTAGTGGTGAAATTGGTCCACATTGGTGGTAGCTTGACAATAGTGGTCAGGCAGCAAAGGTTTGGGGCTGGGACGAATTGACGACAGTGGCCAGACAGCGACGACGACGGTCCAATAGTGGCGATGGTTAGTCGACAACATGATAGTGGTCGAGCTTAGGAAACCTCAAAAGCTTGTTACAAGAAGACCCTCTTTGGCTATGCATACATTGACTATCTACCCTCACGTAAGAATTAAAGAATTTCATGTCGAGACTCCTGACAGCGACTTTATATAAGCAATAAAATATAAGATAAATATGGACGTATTAAGTATTCAATAATTGTAAAGTCACACTTATCAACGCAAGTATCCATATCGCTCTAGTAATATAGGGCTCTAATGGAGTCCTAGATATCGATCCCATAGGGAGTAGTTTAGAATT